GAGATGCCGGTGTCAGGATGGACCTGCTTCAGCACCTTGTACACGTAGATGGCGTAGCTCTCCTTCCTGCTCCTCTTCCTCTTCTTGCCTCCTTTAGCGGCGCTCTTGGTCACGGCTTTCTTGGAGCCCTTCTTAGGGGCGGACTTGGCGGGTTCAGGCATGTTGATCCACTCGAGTTGAAGCAACGAATGAGCTTCAGGGGAGGACAAGCTGTTCTTATACAGCAGCCATGGAGAAAGAACTACAGCAGCACTTGGCTGTGATTGGATGAGCCGCTCAGTCTGGGTGGAGCTGGAGAACAAACCACGTGACTTTTTCAAATGTTGCGCTCAGTGGGACAATAGAGGGGAAAGAAAGGCGGGAAACACCCAGGAAAGAATAATAACTGTGATGCTTTATGAAGATATTTTCTCACCAAAGTGAATATTCGAGCTGTAAATGAAGAAAATGATAAAATCAGAAAAAGAATCAGTGATATAAAGGTTCATAAAATCAAATATTTTCAGGTCAGGTGAAAACAAGTTTCAGCTTTAATGATTTTCCACTCCTTCTGTAGTTCAGGTAGATGTTTGGATTTTAATTGATTGAGCTTCAGGAAGTTTATACATTAAAGACCTAAACTTATAATGTAAAGCAGTCAGAATAAAGATTATATTACATAATTTGTCTAAACTGCTAGGAATTAAAGTAAATATGTTGGCAGTTGAAATAAAAGGAAAAGAATAATGTCTTGGTGAATAATTTTATCTTATTTGGAGCCTTTAATAAAGGAGACTTCAATCTGGTTTCAATGGATATAATACTTGATTAAATGGAGCCAAATCCTGTCCTCGCTGAAGATAAATGTTTCCCTTACATTGGTGTAACAATAGATGCCAGTTGAGGAAAAATTATTTAATTTAAAGTGATAAAAAGTTTCAGTTTTAATAAGATTCCACCCATTCCATAGTTTAGATGGTTATAATCCAGCTTAAGAAGTATGTTATACACTTTTAAATAAACGGGGCATGCAACAGTATTTAATTCTTGATTCAGTACACAATGCAACCATGATTAAATGCAAATCTGCCANGGTTGGCGGCCCTGAAAAGGACCTTTGTTTAGTTTAGAGAAGCGGCTCAGTTTAACCTCCAAAGCCGTACAGGGTGCGGCCCTGCCTCTTCAGAGCGTACACCACATCCATGGCGGTCACAGTCTTCCTCTTAGCGTGCTCGGTGTAGGTGACGGCGTCCCGGATGACGTTCTCCAGGAAGACCTTCAGCACACCGCGGGTCTCCTCGTAGATGAGACCGGAGATGCGCTTTACTCCACCGCGGCGAGCCAGACGGCGGATAGCGGGCTTAGTGATTCCCTGGATGTTATCACGGAGAACTTTACGGTGACGCTTAGCGCCTCCTTTACCGAGTCCCTTACCTCCCTTTCCTCTGCCGCTCATTCTGTCTACCTCTGTTAAGTAACAAAGAGAAAAATGGCGTCCAGCTGCTGCAGCTGGCCTTTGTCTATGAACTGCGGACGTAGAAGGAGCCGTAAACAGCTGTAGGAAGCGGTTTAAAAAAATGTCTGTATTTGTTATATTAATCCTTTTATTGTAAATTACGCATTAAAGAGCAGTGTAATCGATGTGTGGCATGTTATATTTCATATATCAATAAAAATTATCTCAGTTTAAAATACATTTGATATCCTTTACATATGGTATGTAATGTGGAAGTGTAATGGGGAAACTGAATGTTTTGTGGATATGGTTGCTTATTAACTTTCCATTAATGATAATTTTTAGGGGTTCTGATATATTTGTTTAACAAACCTAAGGGTGTAACTTTGCGATAAAAGATGATGGGGAGGCTCTAAAGATGGTGGCTGATGGATCTGCAGTTACTTAACCTGAACGTTTTCAATAGGGTTTGTATTTCCCAAAAATTAGCTCAAACATGTATTTATTGAATACTTTACTATTGTTGATAACACAAGAGTACCAAAATACTTTTTTTTTATATTTACAGTTACAGACAGATGCCTGCCTTTAGTGCATTATTTACAAAGGGCACAAAAACATGAATGTATAAAAAATGAATAACAGCCAAAACCAATGCCAACATCAATAGATCATTCATCCCTAGTATGGACACAGCTTCAGTTATTATAGCGTTGCATATTTTTTCTTGTAAATTTAGAGATATATTTTATTGCATGGTGGATATCCCAGTCAATCTGTCTCATTTAACAATATGATGCCAGAGAAAATAATTTAAGAGATCTAGAAGCTCTGCAGTCTAAATCTCTGTTCAGATATATGTTAATTTAATTCTGTAACTCTGTAATGGTCCAGAAGCCC